AAATTAACTCACATTTCCAATAGATGCAATCAAAACAAACACTATAATTTATACCCAAACACGAGTATTTTCAAGAAAATGAACGAATTATAATTGTCTACTTCCAAATATTCACATACTCAAAGATAAACTTCATTTTCATCAACCACATTCATGAAGATCATTAACACAAACATGATCACATTCATCATAAACTGAAAAATCACAGCACAAGTAACAGAACATAACAACAACAAGACACAGAACCCAGAAATTCTCAACATCTAAGCCCCCTATAAACCCCCACAATACCCGTATAAACCGAGGCCACGTACAAAGACCCCAGATGCTCGTGCACCTCCGTAACATACGTCGCGTTATACTCCGTAAAAAAATTTACGGTCTCAGTAATTCGGCCTTCCGGGTTAATTTTTTGCCCGAGGGGAAAACTCGTCAGCTTAGGATGCAGTTTCTGTATGTTGACGGGCACCCAAAAGTCGCCCGATTTTGTTCTCTTGATGTTGTCCGGGTTGCCCGGGAGGTGCGTGATGACTTCCGTGGTATGGGCCTTCGGGCCCTTGAGCCAGAGCCTCGTAATTTGACAGGCCAAATATTCCGCGATTAGAACAAACGAGCCATCACGGCTGACTGCCACCCCAGCCGGACCCGCAAGCCCGGTTAGGACCACCGTACGGAGTTTTGTTTTCGGGTCGTATTTGAGTAGTCGGCCGCTCGTGTCCCCACTTAGGAGTACTTCTGTCATGTTGCTGCAATAAAAAAAAAGGTTTGAAAGTTAAGGGAAACAGAGTGCGTTTAATTTTTATAGCATTATTGACATAATTAATGCAATATTGTTAAGAAAGTATGACGAGTCGTAATCGTTAGGTCTGCTGGTGTAAAAGATCAGAGTCGAACTCCATCAAATACCTTTAACGTCGGCTACTAATCGAGATCAAGTTTGACTTGTTTTTCAATATTCACGAGTCCAGCTTGAGTCTTAACGAGCTGAACTATTAAAAATTATATAAAAATTCTTATGTTCGAAGCCTTAACGAACAGAGTCGAGCCGATCCGAGCTGGGTCGTTAAATAAACAAGCTTTCGACGAGGTCGAGCTTTGCTCTTTTGAGCCTAATCGGGTTCACTAGCGACTCGTTTTGTTTAACATGTCTAGACTAGCAGAGTCGAGTCGATACAAACTCGGGTTGTTAACTAAACGAGCTTTTAACGTGATCGAACTCTTAATTTTGAGTCGAACATAGTTTGCAAGCGACTCATTTCGTTTAACGGACTAGACGAGCAGAGTAGACCCAATACGAGCTCTCGTCATTAACTAAATGAGCTTTCGACGAGAACGAGCTCGACTAATTTTGAGTTGAACAGAGTTCACGAGTGACTCATTTGAGCCAGGTCGAGCCGATTCGAGCTCTTGTTGTTAACTAAACGAGCTCGAAATCGGCTCGTTTGAAGCGAACAAAGTTCACGAGCGACTCGTTTCATCTAATAGGTGAAGACTTGGGCCTTCTTACACAAGAATTCGTGGTAGAAAAAACGCAAATAGTGCGAAAAAACATTACGTGTTTGTGAAGATGATGGTTCCAATATCGGTGAAATAAACCTCGTCCGTCATCGGGTCAATTGCTACGGCGTCCGGCGCGTCGACCGGCATGCCGTCGCCGCTAGCAACCAAAGCCGCCACGCCGCCGCCTGGCGGCACCACCATCAGCCCCTGGAAAAGGTCGACGACGTAAAGTTCCCCTGTTTTGTGGTTGAATTCCATATCCAACGGCCTCCCGCAAATCCGCCCAATTCTCATATCTCCATGAGTCCCATCGCACGACTCCTTCGACCTGAAAAATAAAATACAAAAAAATACAAATAAACAAAAAAACAAAAAAACAAAAAGTGCAATTTGATCAAATTCTAAGTACATTCAATCCAAAACTACAAGAAATAGAAAATTATATTTGTACCCCAAGGAGGAAAAAATTGGTTACCTATTAGGAACAGTTGTGGCATACTCCACAAAGCCAGTATTTGGGCCTTGATATTTCACAATCCTACCATCATTGAGGCCTGTGTAAGGCCCACCATTGTCTGAATCAAAAGCATAAGCTTCACAGCCAGGTGAGGGAAGCTGAAGCCTCTTGAATGAGTGCAGGGCATTGGCTAAGGGGCTGTTTGGCAGACATGATATTAATATCAGCAAGAAAATGGAAGCCATGGCTACACTTGAGTCTCACTAACACTGAAAGCAAGACAGTAGGGTACACTTTGAAATAGTTCTTTTTGTGCTTGTTGAACTTTGTCTCAAATACTATTTGTGTAGAAAATTAGAAGAGTGGGTACAACTTTTTAACTCAACAAAAAGAAAATGAGAGGGAATTGATTGCATTTGACTATTTCTAGTGTGATATGGGAAAATTTCCAATGGCATTATAACTTCTGTTGAAAATTTTGACATCCATTGGAATTGGTTTTCCAATAGAATTTCTGTTCGATTTTGACTATTCAAACGTCACTTTTTTTTCGGTTTGAATTATTGACGGAATAAACAATTCTGACTGAAATTGCATATTTCAATAGAAATTCGTTCGAAAAATAGAAATTCCAAGTTTTTTTTGTTGATGGTCGTAACCACCAGTCTTCCTCACTTTGGGGATCGGACCCCCGGTGTGCCATGACCATGCACCGGGGACTCATGGACTTCCACAGTGCTCTTTTCCTAAAGTGAGAAAACCCATGTTTGGTCTTTATGTGGTTTTTGCCCTCCCCATGACTCGAACTCTGCACCCTGAGCATAAGGTGAGGTTCATAGGAAGTCCTGGTACCATTCCACCACAAGATGCAGGGTTCGAGTCCTGGGGAGAACAAAAACCACAGAAAGTCCAAACATAGGTTTTCACCCTAGGACAAGAGCACTGTGGAAGTCCATGAGTCCTCGGTGCATGGTCATAGCTCACCGGGTGAGGAGAAGGTTGATGGTTACGTCCATCAACAGGGCTATTGGATGCATTGAACTTCAACTATAATTCCAAGTGACATTTATATAGTTCCACGGAAAGATTTAAATGTCGACTTTCGTAATAATTAATATTGAAATATCCGTAGAAATTTCTATTGATATATTTTTTCCACTTAATTTTCCATATGAAAATGATGTTTTTTATTTATTTTTATTTTTATTTTATTTTTTCTTCAAGTGGTTGTACGGTTTTGAGTGGATCACCCATCAAAGTATTAAAGCAAATTATTAATTAAGAAAAATAAAGTTTTCAAGATAGTGTTAACGTGGGACTCCATGTGTGTGTCGGTCAAATTAGATCATATATATTCTTCAAATGGCTAATACTATAAATTATTTGATCCTTTTTGAATTGTGCACCCATAATAAGCCATAACATGGCAGACATTGATTGCTCACTTCATAGCTGTAGTTGTTTAAGCTGTGTCAGCTCAGGGGTCCATTTATTTTTTAAAATTAAATAAACATGCTTAAGTAAGCTTCAAACAATGGTTAATAACTTTGTTAGAATATCACTTGTGAGTTGTCTCACATCGTTCATACATTGAAAATAGACTCACCTTATAAGTCTAATGGGCTACTCTTCTCTCCACCAATTGGTTTTGGGATGGAACCCCACTTGTGCTTCATATGGGTTTTCCCCGCTTTTGGTGCGCTTCATGTTAGTGGGCTCGCACCCTTTTTTTCCCCCAATTTCTTACATGGTATTAGAGCCGGTTCTATTGGGATCGTGCGATGACGTATCCGTTTTATGAGAGTTTCTTACATGGTATCAGAGCCGGTTCTATTGGGACCGTGCGATGACGTATCCGTTTTATGAGAGTCTACTTCCCCACGTACCCGTTTATGGGAGTCTACTTCTAGTAGGTTTGAGGCACCCAGTTGGGCTTGGGCTTCTCGCATCCGTTTATGGGGAGTCTGCTTCCCCACGTACCCGTTTATGAGAGTCTACTTCTAGTAGGCTTGGGGCACCCAGTTGGGCTTGGGCTTCCGAAGGACTCACAAGTGAGGAGACGTGTTAGAATATCACTTGTGATCACTTGTGAGTTGTCCCACATCGTTCATACATTGAAAATAGACCCACCTTATAAGTCTAATGGGCTACTCCTCCTTCCACCAATTGGTTTTGGGATGGAACCCCATTTGGGCTTCATATGGGTTTTTCCCGCATTTGGTGCCCGCTTCATGTTAGTGGAACCGCAGTGTTTTCCCCTGTTTCTTACAAACTTAATTAATACCAAATCAGTATCAAAATGTGTGTCTTCTTCCAATAAACACGGCGAACTCCTTGAATCGAAACTCGTTTTCTTATACATTTATCGTAAGAAGATGACAAAAGTACCACTAAAAACTACGAAAATAAACGGAATAATAGCTGACGAATAAATAAATAAACTGTAGGCATATAATAAAATAGCACATCCGAGACATGATCTGCCACTTTGAAGACTTCAGTCATATAAAAAGTCACGGTGAGTGACGATTTAAATTAAGCATTGCTATATTTATGGCTAAACAAAATATGTCCATATTTAGGCTGGAAATCTTTTGATTTGTTGGACAAAGTTTGAATAAAGATCATGTTATTCTAGAATTGCAGTTTTTTGGTTCTGCCTCCATTTTTTCGGCACATGAACCGTCAGATTATGCACATACATCTGCATAAATGTCGGTCGATCCGACAATTTAAAGCCCAATTATGCGCATTTGTTGCACGTTTTTAGCCGAAGTCGTCGTTAATCTTCGTAGGGAAATTCGTGAATTTTCCTTTCCACAATCAAGGTCATTGTTGTGCTTGCTGTTTTATTTTCCAATTATTTCTTCAATTAGAAGAACGAAATGAAAGAAGTAAATTCGTTCTGCTTATCATAGTTGAATACTATAGAATAGAAAAATCAGAAATTCTATGGAGCCATTGAATGGTTTTCTTATGGAACCATCCATCACTTAATGTATTGACACCTGTCCAAAGTGTATTTATTGTAGGACACGTGTCAATACACTATTGTGAATAAATGTGGATTGCTCCATATGTCGTGTCATCCGATGGCTCCATAACAAAACTGATAGAAACATATGCCCCGAGTTTGAAAATGCCACAAGGTTGAAAATATCATAAAAATAAATAAAAAATGAATCCAAGAAAATGATGAAATTCCAACAGCATTTATTTTTTATGTTATTTCTATGTTATTATTTCCGTTTCAAATGGATTCCAACAGAAAATCCTACAAAAATATTCCGTTTGAATGAGTTTTTCATTGGAATTTCTGTTTGATTTTTTATCATTCCAATGGTTGAAATATGAGTGAGTAAAAATTTCAATCGAAATTGCATATTTAAAAGAGAATTCCTACTATTGAAAACTAATGATCATGTAATTTCATCGAAAATTCCAATAAAAAACTCGATCCTATGAAATATGTTTGTTGAAATTTTTTTAAGAAACATGCCATCGAAAGCAATATCATTCAAATATCGTTGAATATTTTTTTAAATATCTATTAAAATTTTCATTGAAATATATTACTATATAATTTTCTGTTTGAAATATACCCAACTTTTATGTAGTGGGGGCATACGGAATTTTTCTCACTGTTTTTCAACTCGAACCAGCCCAGCGGGTCGATTCGGGACCCAGCCGACCCGGAGCCAGAACCGGTCCGGGTAGGCTATTTGGACCGGGTAACAATGAACCCGGTCAAACCCAGCCAACCCGGCTTTGACACGGTTGACCCGGTCCTTATATATTTTTTATTTTTTTAAATATTTTTTATACAAAATAAAAATTATTTAAATATATAAAAATATAGTAAATATTTATTGTGAGATATAATTCTTTTAACACTTTGATGTACAAATTTTATATGCAAAATAATTATTTTTGTTATTTTTATGTATATTTATATGTCAAAAATACTATATATATTATTTAAAAAAAATTAAAATTAATTATCCGATTCAGCAATTACCCGATGACCCGGCGGTTGAACGGGTAACCCGGTGACCCGGCAATTTCGGACCGGGTTTAAAAACTATGCTTTTTCTAGGTATTTCCCTAATTTTAATAAAGTTTGCACTTTTATTGTTCAATACGATATTTTCTTATTATTAAATCATGAACATCTACAATAAATAAATAAATAAATCATGAATATCTACATTTATGCTTTTTCTAGGTATTTCCCTAATTTTAATAAAGTTTGCACTTTTATTGTTCAATAAGATATTTTCTTATTATTAAATCATGAATATCTACAAAAAATAAATAAATAAATCATGAATATCTACATTGTGAATGACAACACTACTTTTAAATGGTCAAAATTGTGCTGCTCTACTAAAGTGAATATCATACCCTACACTACACACTTAATGCAAGTCAACTTTTTGCAGGTGTAGTGTTACCTGCTGATATTTGATACTATTTATTTATGCTCTCTGAAATTGCTTTTACACAACCTTTTTCCAGAATAAAATAAAATGAGATCCACCATTTTTCAACTTATTTCAGAAGCATCCCCAAGAGACTTTAGTAATATTAAGAAGCATTTATTTATAAATACATAATGATTTTTACAAGTTAGATCAAAGTATAGTGTCGATTTAATCCAACGAGACGAGCTGAGGTTATCCGGTAAGGGGTTTCTTGTAATTTTTCCAAAAATCTCAGGTTTTTTTTTTGTTATCTTAATCACTCCACTCGGGCTCCCTTTTGGAGGGATCCCTTCGTTTCTTACTTTGTTCGGTGCCAACCTTGGGACGCAGACACTGAAGGGTTGTACCCAATCGACAATCATCCTAACTTCCTGGACTAAAAATGAAATTTACAAAAACATTCAAGCTACATTCTTCCGAAGATGGAAAATCGAACCCCTAAACGACATAAACGAACGCATTTCACTACTTCCTTTCCGACTTGTCATTGCCCGTACAAAGCACACATTTATATCACAAGGCACGGAAAAATAATGGTAATATAAAACTCACAAAAAAAAAAAAAAAAACTAGAAACACACAACAATCAAGAACCCTATTGTTTACCATTTGGTTTAGGCGAATTTTGCACAAACTGATGACGAGGCGAGGCCTGAGGTACCGAGAGATTCCTTGGCTGCAGCCCATTTCTGGATGACGACGACCCATGGGCCCGAAGCCCATTCTTTCCATTTGGGCTTGAGGAGGCGGCCCGGTCTGCCTGCACTGTCTGGAAGTAGTATGATGAGCTGGCCATGTCCTTAAGGCCCGGCAGAGGCTTTAGGGCCTCAACAACTTCACTCATCAAAGGCCGGACTTTGGAGTCCCGGTTTAGGCAACGGGCTGCCAGCTGTGCGGCCTTCTGGGCCCCCTTAATCGAGAAGTGGCCCTCGAGCCGCGGATCTATCAGGCGGTAGAAGCGCCTCCTGTCGGCCATGTTGGGCCGGGCCCACTCGACGAGGTTTTGCTCCCCATTGGGCCTGTTCTTGTCCATGGACCTCCGGCCCGTTATCATCTCGAGGAGTACAACCCCAAAGCTGTACACATCGCTTTTCGACGTGAGGTGCCCTGCAAAAAATGCA